CTTTCTGTTAGGATCATAAGTCATGCATTTGCAGACAATCTCAGGAAGACCCATCTGGAAAGTTCCATCTGCTTAGTGGCACTGATGTCACATTCATGTTGACAAATGCCACCTACTTTTCCTGGAAAGCTGCTGCTTTGTTTCCATGTGAAAAAAGCACCTTCAGTAATGTAATTCTGGTGCTGTGATGGGATTACAGCATCCAGGCTTTGTCACTTTCGTCTAGTCCTTTTGCCAGGGCATTCTGGCAAAATGGATGGTGAACATAAAGTTATCTGAGCAACTCTGTGGGGCACATCAGGCTGCAAATGCAGCTGACCACCTCAGGTTCCCTCCATGAGCTTCATGGCTGAAAGGGCAGTTGAATCTGGCTCTTTCTCATCCAACTCCAGCACCATGTCATATTTATCCATACCCTATTATAAGTTATGCTATAACCTTTATCAGCTTTGACTGATTTACCAACCATGCCCCTATTTGGACAGGCAGAATATGCTCCCCAGAGAGGTAAGCCTGGTGCAATCCCTGCTGTCTTTTCGGTGCCAGGTAAAACACTTTCACTTTCCAGCTATTTACTAGTTAATTTTGTTGTGTTTTATTATCTGCTGAGCCAGTTTGAAAGATTGTTTATTATTTGCTGCTGTGGCAGGAGTCGGGGCGGGGTCAAATTACTGTGTCTGCTACGGTATGTTGTCCTATGGTTGTTGCCTTGTTGCATTGTTTTAGCCTTATTGTCTACTCAGTATGAGTATTTTATAAATTTATATTTGATTTTAGATTTGTAAACTGCTCTGTACCAGTAGGCTATATGACAGTATATAAATGTACTTAATAAACAAACATACAAAGTATATAAAATAGCATGAATACATAAAACCTGAAATATGTGACATGAGGAAACCTCACTATTTGCTTCCAGAAGGATTTGTTCAAAATGGTAACTGGAAAAACAAGCCAGCAAATTCTGTACTCCTCTATAGCAAGCTACATTCTTCAACCTCTCACCTAAAGTCTTGGGCTTGGAGTCAGGTTCCAGGCAGAGTGGAGTGCTGGCTAAATCACAGACTCAGTCTGTTTCTCATTTCTAAGATGGAAGCTATGTGGGGCTCACCTCAGGAACTGAGCTAGTCAGTATGTAGATATTCAAATTTGGAAGAGGGATGAGAATTTTAGCTATTCTACCTCATAATATTCTTTTGAAATAATTGCACTGGTTTACGTATTTGATCCTTGTTTATTCGCAAAGACACCATTTTAATGCACATAAATTTATTTTCTTTACAATTACATTTATATCCCAACATTTATTCCCAAGGAATACAAGGACACTGAAAGGTAGATTAGACTGAGAGTCAGTGCTTGGTCCAAAGTCATGCAGGAAGTTAGATGATTGTGTAGCTGTGTATTTCAGCCCCAGATAAAATGTTTGGAAAAGGTCCATATAAGGCTGAGAGACTGACAAATTAAGATTGTCTCCTATTTCCTGAGAAGGGGTTTAGAGTGAGCAGAAAGCATGAGTTGTATAGCAAAGCAACAAAAAGCTGCCATTTTGAAAATCCATCTTGAGGTATGTGCAACATATTAGGGTTAGAGATAAAATCCAGGATAGTGTTAGGAAAAGAAAACAAGAGATAAGATTAGAAAAACAGGGAATTCCACCAATGTCTAGAGGCTTCAAAGGTGATCAGAGCAGGCAGAAAGAGGGAGCTGGCAAAAGAAATCGCATTAAACCATGCCTTTTGAAAATATGCTTTGAGGCATGCATATTTCAGCCCCAAACAGGCAGTAAAGAAAAGGTTCATGTTAGAGTGAGGGCTCAAAAATTAAGCACCTCTCCTGTGTCCTGAGAGTTGGAAGGAGTTTAGAGTGGGCAGAAAGCATGAGCTGAGCAGAAAAACAACCCAAAGCTGGTGTTTTGAAAATCTACCTGGAGGTCTGTGGATTTCAGCACAAATTAGGGTTGGGTTAAATTCCAGGTTAGGCTTAGGGTTGGAAAAATGGAAAATACCACGAACTAGACACATTCAAAAGTTCGGAGAGGGCAGAAAGAGAGAGGTAGCAAGAAAACTGAATATCATTCTGGAAATAAGTGTGTTTTAGCACCACATTAGCGTGACAATTAAATGCTCAGTTGGGATTAGGTATAGCAAACCTGGGGACCCAACCAACCTGTAGAAGTATTAAATGAGCTCAGGGTGGACAGAAAGAGTGACAGGGCAAAAAAAATCCCGCTAGACCTGCACTTTCGAAAATCTGCAATGACGCATGTGTATTTAGTACAGCTAATGGCCTACTTAGCAAATTTCCCTGTATGGGTGCAGGATTGAAAAAAGGACTTCCTGTCTCATGTCCTATAACACGAAACGGATGTGGGAGGTGCAGAGGAGACCTCAGATGCGAAGAAAAATGATCCAACACGTGCTTTTTTGAAGCTCCATCTAGACCTAGGGGATATGTTGTGACCTAGGGGATATGTGGTGAGCCGCCCCGAGGCTTTGGCGAATGGGGCGGCATAGAAATGTTTTAAATAAATAAATAAATAAATAAAATATTACCTCCAAATTAATGGTGGGGTTAAATTTCAGATTTTGGTTAGAGTTAGAAAACCTTGGTTCCCCTCGAATCATTACAAGTATTCAATGGTTCAGAGTGGGAAAAAAGAGAGAAAGGGCAAGAAAAATCCCACTGGACTTTAACTTTGGAAATCTGCATTGAGGCATGGGAGTTTTGGACCCTGAGAGGATATTAGGGAAATGTCCCTGTAGGGCCATAAGTCAGATGTCCATACACTTTCAATAGGTTTGCAGAAGGCAGAAAGCCCTAGCAGAGCCGAAAAAGAACACATCAGCCGGTCTTCTGAAAATCCATTTATCTCTATGGGGATTTGATCTCCAAATTAGGTTAGGGTTAAATTCCAGCCTAGGGTTAGGGTTACAAAAACCACATTCCTCTCCACTCTCTAGAGGTGTTAATTGTGCTCAGGGTGGTAAGAAAGAGCAATATGGCCAGTAAAATCCCGCAGGACTTTCACTTTTGGAAATCTGCACTGGGGTTTGAGAGTTTCAGCCCCTGGCCGGATATTTTGAAAATGTCCTGAAGGGCTGAAAGTGCAAGGTTTAGTGGGATTTTTCTTGTCCAGTCACTCTTCCTGCCTGCTCTGAACACTTCTGAATCCACTTGACATTGGTTGGGTCCCTGATTTGTTTTAACCCAAACCCTAGCCTCAATTTGAAGCCAAACCATAGCTTTGTACTAAACTTTGTACTAAACTAGATACACATCAAGGCAGATTTTCCAAACCTCAGCTTTCAGATGATTTTTCTGCAAAGTTCCTGCTTTCTGCCCTCTCTAAACCCCCTTCTGGTTTCAGGGCATAGCTTAGGATCTTCATTTTCTGAACCCTCACCCTTATATGAACCATTGCCAAAAGGGTCATATGGGACTGAAATATCTCAAGGCAGATTTTCAATGCATTCTGAAAATCCATCTTGAGATATAGTTCATCTAATTCCAGGAATGCCTAGGTTTATACTTCTGGTCAGCCACTGAACTAGCTCACCAGGGGACAGTTTCCTTCCATCAATTTAACCTACTTCACAAGGATCATGGAATATAGGTTTATCCTACCTTGAAACAGGCTGAACCCCCTTGAAAGTTGTATGGATACTTGGCAACACCAGAATCTCCACCCATGCCTGCAGCTCATCAGCCCCACTTCACAGGGCTTTCAGGAGGTTCCCTCAAGCAATCAGGTGAATCCTGGAAGGTAGTGCAGTGAAAGGAGGAGGCAGAAAAGCACTCTTGCATAGGCAGATGTCCACCAATCTCAGTACCAAGCATTGGGCTCACTGCATTATCTTCTGGATATGTATGCTGAGTCATTGTTCCTGTATCATTATTTGTTATTTCTTTGCTGCCCTTCTTGCCTTTGCATGTAGGATACATTTGAAAATCTTAAATGATCCTAACTAGTAATAATTTCAGTAACATGCAAATAATTTCTAGAATAATTCCTTGTGTAACAGAAGTAGCATCACATTGCGTGTGTGTGATGGCATATGATATTTCTGCTGCTTTTTAGACAATCAGGAGCCTAGAAAGGAGATGATGCAACGGAATATAATTGGTTTCATTACATGCAAATGTAAACTATAAAAAAGCCTAGAGAAATTGAAGCTGTCCTTTTTCATTATCCAAATCTTATTTAAAACATTTTCTCTCTCCTACTTTTTGGTTCTCTCCATTTTGTTAGTACACATGCTGCTGGTTTGTTCCTGCTTGGCTCCTCCCACTCAGACAAGCCACTAAAGGCACAATCCTATGCATGTTTATTCAAAAAAAATGTCCTGTAACTCCCAGCATTCCCCAGCTGGCTAATCAGAACTTGAAAGTTTACCATTCTGTCTGAAACAGGACTTCTAGCTTGTTGCATCCTCTGCCTACCAGAAGAAAGAACAAGTCCTAGTTTGCTATCCCCTGGAACTCTGGCTTATCATTCCATGCAGATGAGGCCAATTGGTGCCTCTAAGAATTAATTGCATGTCTTGATGTATGTGCACTGAATATGAATTGATGTTCATTTAATGAATGGAGTCAGCTACTAAATTAGTTCCTGATAATTCTTTACTCCTTCCCTACCTCATTATACAACAACATGTTAAGGCTGCCATGCTAGTAGAATAGTAATTGCTATACTAATTGGGGACAGTAATTGCTCAGTGTGTGGGCTTTAACTATCCTAATATTACACCATAACTCCACTTAACTGAGGGCTTGCTTGCTACAGAGTAATGTAAAGCATAACAATGTATCCAGCTGACTGTCTTTCACTCCCTTCCCAAAATCAAATTCATCCATAATTCAGCTGTTTGAATTTACCATGAAGAAATGCTAGGGGACAAGATCTCTAGCACATTTAAGATTAGCTTTGGTTAAATCAGCAGAGATGCTTCCTTCCTCACTGTTATCTAACGGCATATTCTTTGTTTGTTTACTCTTAGGATTTTAAGCAAGCTAAGTCAAGAAATAAACCGACATGAAGAAAAAAGAAGTTTCTTTCCAAAACGGTAACAAAAGTAGCTTGACATTTTATTGTTGTTAATTGTGTCATAATTATTGAGTACCATTGTGTGGTAGGTTGGAATATGTACAGAGACTATACATAGAAGTACAGGAGCTCAGCTTTAAATTATATAGCAGAACTAATTGTATAACTTAGTGTAGGCAAAGTATGGTGTTTAAATAACTAGCTGAATAGCAACAAAAAGTTTTATAAGCCCTTGATCAATATGAAAGCTTTAAGAAGAACTTGAATTTTGTTGTTTACTTCACAAAGCCAAATTACTGGAATTAGAATATTTTAATTAAGCTCTTGAAAAGAAATAGACATGTATTGGTACATAGACATCACAATTTTAGCTCTAACAATTCAATAATTTCCCCCCAAATCCTCACAGGTAGGGATATACGTATTTATATTTATGATAATTAATGAGAATTAGCATAAATCTCCCCCTAAGGTGAAAAAAGCCAGCCCACAAGTCTGTGGAATCATCCTGGTGCAAAAAAGCCATTATGGAATCTGCAGGTCCAAACTTTGAAATCCTCTGAACCTGTTGCAGATTTGTCCAATATCCATTCTCCTAAGGCAGCACTTTGGACTGAAAGCAGCTTGAGGAGGCAATCTATACTTCATCCTGGGACTGTATCTCATTTGTATCCCAGGATTTATAGACAGAGTACATGTTTAAGGAGATTCTTGAATCCCTCTACATATTTCTGAGAGGAACACAATCTTCAACAAGTCTGCTCTTTTGAAAGTGTGATCTTGGGTGCTTACTTGTGAGTTTATGAGCAAATTAACAGTGTTCAAACCTACTGAGGCAAGTGACAAGCTGAGGCAGGAAATAGACATGGGGTGGGGGGGGGCTGTGAGAGCAAAACAGTAGCCCTGCATCTCTACTCCTTGATCTTCTGGTAACATAATATTCAGAAGCACTACTAGCCTGAAATATGCCCTTGCCTCAGAACAGTAGCTGATGAAGTAGAGCTAAGTTAGGGCATTTTACCGGGCAGTGGTATAATGTTACATGCTTAATGAACAAGCTAAACAAATTAATAGATGCTCTTCACAATAGCAATGTAGAAATCAAATCCAAATCCATCTATATGGCAATCCTGAGCGCAGTACTTGAAGTAAGTGTCATGTCATCAGTTCAGGATTCAGTTCACTGGCTTGATTCCAGTTTCTTGTCTTTTTTGAAGCTTCTGCTTATTTAGTGGTGAAGAGAGCATGCGCAGACTCTGCACAAAACAATGGACAGGAAAACAGTATATCCTCCCTTCCCTGCTCCACCCCACTATCAGAGAAGGTGTATGCAGCCAGGATATTGCTGGCTGGTAGAAGCAGCAGATGTTCTAGACATCCCTCTTTTCTGCTTGGAGACAACCAAGTTGATAATTCCTGCCTCATTTCATGTGGCCCGTGAGAAGGAAAGGGTCCACCACCACCCCAGTTTTATTAAATAGAATCATCCCCTTTCTGGACATGTAATGCACACTATCAGTTTGGATCCCTGAGTTTTTATTACTAAGCTGTATAATGTGTGCCTTCACAGGCTGTCCAATAGAAATCTGTTTGCACTATTGTGAAAAGTGGTGCAAAGCAATACCATAAAGCATCATCACATGATGACAAATCTGAAAGATGCACATGGAACCAGACTAGGATTCACAAAGCAGAGTTATCACACTTCTAAGCCTATTACGAACTAGCCACCGACCTTCTTCTAGCATTTCTGTTTTGGGTATTCTGCATCAGGAAAAGACTTAATTTACACTTTACACTTTGAGGTACTATATATTTTGGCACATTTTGCCAGTGCAACCAGAGTTAAAATATTGGTGCATATGATGAATGTTTAGTTAGTAATTAAGGTATGAAGCATTAATTTGCTTATTTTCCTTCAAATCACTACAGGACACAAATACAAAAGGCTCCTGAAAATACAGGTAACAGCACTTGCTATTGTGTATATACTTCTATCCACCCTTCAAACGCTATCCTAGCCACATTCGGTTTTGTTCAAAAGTTTTCTGAGTATGTGAGCTGGATCCAAGCTAAGCCATTGCACTGAAGTCTATTTAAATCAATTTAAATAGTTAAATTTAAACTATGTTATGATTTTGATTATTAATCTAAACCTGTGACAACAAAAAGGGAAAATATATTGTATCAAGGTATATAATAAAAATGTACACACATGATGCTATTGTAAAGTCATGCACCAACCAGGTTCAGTCACGCCTATATCCACGTTAGCCAAAATAAGTACAAGATATGTGACTTCAGTCTTCCTTACGGTACCACCCCTTCCTTCCCTTCCTGGCACACCACAATAACCCAAGAAGTTTTCA